TGTCGAAATACGATCGGATGGTACGATTGTGCATGCGTTACTGGCTTTCGTTTAGATTCGGACAACGTAACCTGTGTTGGTAAGTATTACATATATACTTAATTGCAAGTACAACATGATGGTGGCCGAGAATGTACAATATAATAATATCAAAAGAATTTAAATATCAGTGAATCAAATTATTAATTAGAATGATTCCACGAAGCAGATGGAACGTTGCATGCATTTTGTAATCGACATTTCTTTGGTTTCTGCACAAGCCAGTAGCCTTTTTCACGCTGCAGTMATGTWGGTTTGAACGATAAATGCTACCAYGCATAGCCTYGCATTCAAGTKCTTGAGAAWAWRTTTTTGCAGGTTAAACAAAKTTTTTGATTCGCATGCGAATAAAYATGGCCGCCTTGTAATAAAGGTCCAYTGCCATAGTTTTGATTTTTCGAAAGTAACTTTTAAAAAGGTGGCAATACTTTCAGAACAAATGCAAATGAAAATTTCGTAAACACTTTGGTAATGAAAACAACCTCTGGGCTATACAAAGTCAGGGAACGACTTGCTCGTATCAGAAGTGACGGAATGTTTTTGATCTTTTTTGCAGAAAGCCCTAGTAATAGACAACGTAAAAAATATATCAGGGATGATATTCCATAATTTCTGATATGCGTTTGATATACTTGTGTATATTTGAAGCGGCCATAATTTTTGCAAGTGACCATATACATCTTCATTTTGTGGTGGCCATCTTTTAGTCTTGAATCCGAATTTGTTATCTAAAGTGTCGGTTCGTTGATTGTTTTCATCAGTCTTTTTGTCGTAGAAGAAGGCTTTTCATCTTATTCGTTTGATAACGCTTTCTATTTTTACGATTAGATTTTTGATTGGAAGTCCTTACGACAACATCTCCGAAAGGTGTAATCTCTGCCTAACAAGAAAAGCTTTACATTATAATTAAAGCCGACGAATCTACCCTCCTCTCAACTAGTCGTATTTTATTCCTACGAACATATGTATTTAATAATCCACGTGTTTGTACCTTACATAAAGTACCATACGACTGAAGCCTCTGTAATCAAGTCTGAATTTTAAGATATCAAACATGGCCTGATGATGCTGTAGTCTGGGTCGTGTTTGCGATCTGTTGGTCTAGTAAATATCAAAATGGATGTAACAAGATACTCAAAAAAAAATCATTTTAATTGTATATTCTGACTTAAAAGTATGAGTGTTTATTTCATAGATATTGATGAATGCATGGAATGGACATTCAACTGCTCGGCCACAATGAGATGTCAAAATACGATTGGTTCTTACAAATGCCAATGTGAAGAAGGACTGTACTGGATTGACAACAGATGTCGTGGTAAAAATCCATTCACTTTTATCGTAATTTGTTATTATCATATTTGGGCCAATCGGTTATACAGTCTATTACAGGATTAGTTTTGAATTTTGCTTCCCTTTCCAAATTAACAACTACATAAGGGATCGATCACTTACTAATTATACAACACCTCTCTGGTTCTGGAATACAGGTATTATTTAAAAAGCATCATCGTTTTACTTGTCACTCATAACTCATAAGGTTCTTGCGAATTTGTTCTCAAAAAAAGTTCAGCGTCCTGTATTAAAATTTGCCACAAAAAAACTCAAACTTCTCAAGTTACGTCATAGTCATTAACATATTGGAAATATAAACCTTCATAACTTAAATACATGACACTCGAATGAAAGAATATTTTCGTAGTTAACTATTTACTAGCTACCAAACAATCTATTTCGAAGGTATTGTATAAAGGCATATAAATAAGCACTAACGATGATTAAACTACCGACGATTCACATATATGTATTTCATTGATTGTATATAATTGCATGTATTTCTATTTTCTTTAAATTGCAGAACCAGACAAAGGAGTAGCGCTGCCTCCTCCTCCACCTCCACCAAAACCAAGACATCCTTCAAGTGAAGACGTCCAAAACAGTGTCATTGTTACCATCCTAAACACTAACATTTCWGAAGTAAATACAAGATGCTTTTAATTGAAACTTAACTTTAAGTATAATTAATTAAAAAGACTGTTTAAATTTTTTTTCTTTCTAATTTCATGCAAAAGGGGTTTTATTAACTTTAACAACTAGATAATTAAAGCTAATTGAGACCCTTGTAAAGACCAGCCTATCAAATCCTTTAGTGATCAAGTCTTCTGTTCCTCCTCCTCCTCCTCCTCCTCCTTCTTCTTCTTCTCCTCTTTCTTCAGAATAAAGAAGATATATACAATTGGTAAACAAGAGTAGATAATACAATATTTGTGCAAAAATTATTTCTTTTTTTTTTTCCACAGTGGAATGTGATATTTGACTTGGATTTTAAAAAGGCCGTGGCTATAGAAGTTACCAAAGGATGCGCAGAGTACTACAAATGCATCCCTGYGAAAAGACGACAAAGGTTTGTTAATAACTGCACAATAAAAATTAAATTACCATCACTTATCCTCGTTCTTCTCGTCCTGGAGAACCAATGAATAAAAGCAAAATACAAAACAACAAACAGTTTAAGACGACCATGAACTGCAAAATCTACATATTAGAAAAACCAGAAGTAAATAATACAAGCACAGCGTCTGTAAAAAGACGAGACCGATCAGGTTTTTACTTGAAAATATTGCACTATTTTTTGAAGCCCAAATCCACAAAATATTTCATTAAGTTTTAACGTTCCTCCTCATGAGCTATTCAAAAAACAGTGGTCATCGTTTGCAACTTTTTGGAGCCAGATAAGTGTTGATTCAAACAAATTTGCCATTTGATTGAAGCACCTTTCATCATCATCACAAACATATCCACTATTTTGTTTTCCAGACGTTYAAATGGATACATCACCTTTACTAGTGATCAAGTACATCTTTTGCCAGGTTTTCCGATACAGGTGTACAACTCTTCCATGTCTGATCACATGATTGCTGACGTAGCATTCTACGTCAARTTCCCACCAGGAGTCGCCATTGGAGTTACTGACACAGTTGACAAGAGTCTTCTCATTGATATAGTTAACGGATCTCTCACTCGCATTGGCAGAGCCACCAATAAAATATTGCTCTCAGTTAAGGCGTATGTTGACGACGATATTAGTAGAACCACTCGTGCTTCTACCACAGAAAAACCGACAGAAAATATTGACAAGGTACCTGGTGCGCTTATTGGCGGATCAGTAGCTGGTGCTGCAATTGTTATCATCGTCGTTGTCATAATAGTAGTGTTACTCAAAAGGTCAGTTTTTAATTTTTTACACGTGCTTCATAGACCGTTCTTGAATTAAGAGGCAATTTTCATTTTTCTCTACTTTCACATCCCCATAATACTTTGCGTCTTTGGGGGGTAACCAGAGGGTAAAAACCCACTTATTTTGCTCAAGGCTGATCAGACAATGTTGACAATACCTTGTTTGGTATCCAAAAATAAAATGAAGAAGTGAAAAACTGAAAAAGGTAGAAGCTTGAAGACGTTTAAGGTAAATTTTAAACATTTTTTCGTAAGTCAATACATTTTCTGTAAGACCAAAATTCTTGATGATCTGTACACGCAAAAATAACTTGGAATAAACTGATAATCAGTATTATACAGAAAAAAGCAGGTATAAATTCAGTTAAGAAACCTTTCAATTTGGAAAAGTTTTTTGATTGGTTACCCCCCAAAGACGCAAGGCATTATGGGGATGAGAAAGTAGAGAATAGCGTCATTTACTTCAACTACCAGAATCGCGTGCACAGTTTGTCAGTTGATTACCATCAATTGTTTCATGGTAGTCGTAGTAAAATGACAACATCATGCAAACTGCCTTTGCGCTAAAACAACCACGATCACTATTTTATGTCGAATTCCATACGCTTTGGAACCCAACCACTTTATGGCCCCTTCCACACGTATGCGCAAATATTTGTATCCGCAATTATTTTTTACGGATAGCGGTTGCGTCCACACGTGCCCGCAAATTTTTGGGTCCGTATCCGCAAATTTTACGAAAACGGATACGTGTGGACGGTGAAAACGATTCGAATACGCTGCGTGTGGACGCAAACATTTTCGTACCCGCAAAAAATAATTTGCGGATACAAAAATTTTCGGATACGTGTGGACGGGGCCTAAGCAGTTTTTTTTTTTCATGGTCATGGAGGCAATTCAGGAATGTGAATAAGAAGGAAACTTACACATCTTGAAAAAAGTTGTAGTGCATGAAGTTTGGGACGTCAATTACACTATTTATTTTTTACTGCCGTGCTTAGCCGTCTTGTTCACTTGCTGTATTCAACACACCAACGCTGTCCCAACTAGAAAACGTTAGTCATTTTCTATTGGAATGGTTGGCGTTGTCACTTGATCAGTCATTCATCTCTAACTTTTATCAAAACCACAGGAAGTCCAACTAATGTTAAAAATCCTACCCGAGGTAGCCAAACCAACGCCTTGAGATGCTATGTCTGTATTCGATATTTGTGCGCTCATTTTTGAAAGTCTTTTTGTATTGCAGAAGGAACACCTCCAAGAGGCAAGAGCMACCAGCGATTGAAATGACGCCTGCATCTTTCACAAATCATGGAATGCAGCTGGAAGGTCGTCCCCAAACTGATCTGGTTAATATTTGAACTTTTTCAACCGCGTGCGTGAATACATTAAAAAGTCTCTTCGGTGTCAATAGTGATTTGTATATGTGATCTTAATAAGCATGCAATTTTTTTTCTTTCTTTTCCTCCAAATAAAGTAGATCATTGTAAAGTCCTGGCTAAACGAGGAAACATGGTTTCCGCGCGCATGTTTCCCTGATGTTTCCCAGTTTAGCTCCATGCAAAACATTGCGGCGTGCAACACATTTTGCTTCCAAGACGCAAAAATGTGCGGCAGAAACACTTCATGCTTCCAAGAAGCATGGAAACAACGTTTCCCAATGTTTCCTCGCTTAGCCACAAAATTCAACATTCTAAAAAGTCGTTACTTAGCAACGCTCAATCTTGAAAGTGCGCATGCCCTAACCGATGTTGAGTTAACTTGTTTCCCGGTGTTTCTTGACAGTTTTGCCACCTTTGGAAACAAATAAGGAAACATGTTTCTGGCCTAAATCATTAGAGAAGCTATTTGAAACATAAGAATGTTTAACTCTTCCCGCTCTCATGCAAATTTCGAAAAGTTGTTTTAAAAACATGCATAGATATTGAAAGAAACACTCTTATTAATGCTTGAAGAAAAAGCGTAATAGTGCAATACAGCTGTGAATGAGAACGTTTTGCTTTCAATAGTCAACAGTAGTCAATATCTTATGCTCTTGGAAATAAAATCAATGGGTTTTTAGAATATATCAAGCATTTCCACTAAATCTTTTCACAATTTTCTTTCAGTGTTTTGGCTTATTTATCTAATTTTTTTCTAAGACGCGCTGAAATAAAAGTGCCACCTAAGGTAGAGCAGACACCATATATATTTTAACAATTTATAATGTTAAAATGTTGCACTGAAAAATAATAAAACAGATTATACTGTCATCGAAGGTATAACATGTACCAAATTAGTCTTTGATTACTTGCATGCGAATAATCCTTCGCAGAATGACCCTTTAGACGGTAAAGTTTAAAACTTTTTCTTTTATTCTCTCTTCATATCTCCTCTCCTCAGGGGCGGATACAGGATTTAAAGGGGGGGGGGGGGGGGGGGGGGGAGTGTGGTGGATAATATTTGCAGTACAAAAGAAAAAAATGATCAAATTATAACATACAGTGTACTGCATACTTGTGAATGCAGGTAATTTTGCAATCATATTCCTTCTTCTATTTCCCTACAAATATTCACTTTTACTCAGAAAAGGGGGTGGAAATCCACACAATCCACCCCCCTGTATCCGCCCCAGCTCCTCTACATCTTATTTTGATCCCCTCCACTCCTCCTTTCTTATATCCTTTCCTTCTCACCTTTTCTTTGTATTCCTAACCTTTTACATTCCACCCTTTCCCTTCTCTTCGTGTACGCAATGAATACTTTGTGTTTGCTTTAAAAACTCTCTTTCATTCATACCCGTAGCCGTGTACGCAAGATGAGGGGCACTACCTCAGTGTTTCTTGTCTATACCTGATTGTAAGATCAGCATCATTTCCTGAATACACTTGTCGGAACGTCAACGATGAGTGGTTAGCCCAAAACTGAAGAGCATTTCTAAAGTCGTTATCTTGCTATGTCTTACTCAAGTCAGCGCCATGCTCGACGTAATACGTCAATGCACTCTTCCTACATTTTCCATATGTGACGTAACGACCTATCGTGAACATCTGGCAAACCACATCTCGGCGTTTTCATTAATTTTACCGTTGCCTGGTCTAGTTCACCGGTGACTGTGAGTTTCAGCATTAAATTCCTGGAATTTCTTGATGCCAGATGATAAGCTCTGATTTCCAGATCTGAATTTGGAAATGTAGTTGTACTTGTTGAAGAAATTCTAGAGGAAAATATAATATTTAACTTGAATACGATTTATGCTTATACCTGAGAGAGATGAGAAAAATCTAACTAATTTGATTTACTTTCCATTGAAAAGCTACTCAGAAAAAAGGCAAACGGCACTGTTGAAAAACGCTTCTCTTTCCTAAAGAAACCAAGTTTTTTTGATTTGCATAATATTTTTTTGAGAAACGATGGCAAAAATAGACTCTTATAATAACTTACAAATTTCTCACACGCTGATTGGTTATTTTTATCATCAATAAGAGGACAGACAGATAAAGCCGATGTCAACGTACGAGCGCGGGCTCTTTCTTTTGAATGTTTTGATCAATAAAAACAAGAAATTTTTATCACAAAATTGTTAGTACGCTTGTTGTTATTAAGGAGACTCGAAACGGTTTTTCTTGAGCGCGCGTTCTAGGTCCGATGACGTAGAACTTGCAAAAGGAAAATTTTCGTACTCATAAATTTTAATGTTCAAACTGAAAAAACTCAAAAATTCTGCGGTGAAAATTCTCCAAATTTTAATTTGCATAGGGATTTAGCTTATGTTTTCAAAAACTTAAGGAAAATTTTAAAAACTTCTGTAAAAGGGAACTATTCCTACCAAATTTTATTGATTTTTTTCAAATTGCCTTTTANAAAAAAAAAAAAAAAAAAGAATAAAATAAAAAAACAAACGAAACATGCAAAAGCTATTGGATTACCTTTTGTCTCTGAAAGCTATTTGCTTTTCTAACCTCAATTACTACCTCGAAAGATAATAAGTGTTAGAAACTTATGATCAGGAACTCTTAGTTTTTAAAATTTTGAGTTCCTTTCGGCTTGTGACAAATGAGAATTTATTCCAAAACKTTAAAATTAAKTGGTAATCAGGTCCGTAGTTTGTCATGTACACAATCTTCAATTAGTGATCTTCGGCTAACTTTTATATAAAACTATACAACTTTTTTTTCGAACTTAATTACATTTTATCAATCACTAGCGGCCGCCTTGTATATTGACAGATCATTGCTTTCACGTCAGTACTATACTGACTCATTTAATAACTGCAGATGTTTTATTTATTACATTTATAAGTAACTTAGACTATAAACTGAAAGTAGAAAGAACTTTAGAAGGAGAACGCTTGAACAAGGTCTCATTCGTCTTATTCTCTTCTAAACTTTACTACAAATTAAGTTTTCCAAAGAAATATTGTTCCATGGATGATTGTCAGGAAAAGCACAACAAGATAGATCAGTTTGATCCTGATTTCATCATTCCTTTAATCGTCCTTCACTCACTAAGCTCCATCTGTGCCACTCTTCTCAACGCTCTTGTTATTCTGACAATATGGAAGACACCTTCTCTTCGTACGCCATCAAGGATTTTCCTCTGCTGTCTCGCTGTTAGYGACTTTTTCATGGGATTCATAGCACAGCCTCTCTTCGTTGTGTACTGTATTGCTGCACTAAGAAAGTGGACTGATATCTTYTGTGCGATTTGGGTTGTTAATCTGCGAGTYGCTTACTGCCTTGGTGGGTTATCACTTGGCWCTCTAACATTYATCAGTATAGATCGATGCCTAGCCATTAAGACTAAGATGTCATATAAGTCTCTGGTCACGTTAAAACGTGTATTATGGTTAGTGATTTGTGGCTGGGTTTTATGTATTGTGAGTATCTCTCTTGCCATACAGTACTTCCCTTTTCGGACATGTCTTCTCGTTGGGTCTGTTTTTATCGTAGTCGGGTTGCTCATAATAACAGTGTCGTATTCTTTGTCGTTCCATGCTTTAAAAAAGCTGTCTCTCAAAGTGTCGTGTCCTCCAAGTTCTTCTACTTCGAAGAATAAATTAGCGTTAATGAACCAATCAGCATCGTTGAACCCWCTTGCATCGATACATCAATCAACGTCAAGRAAAAAATCTGCATCAGTCAKTGAATCMGCATCCACAGATCAATCACAACAGGAGAATAAGCCACCTACACYCAACCAATCAYATTTAGTCATCCAATCGGCATCAATRAATRAASCRCCTTCAAATGACACACCACCGTCATTGGACCAATCACCATCGGGTTTTCAAGATAACCCAYCAGCATCGAMTRCGCAACMGACCCAATCCACATCATCACGTCTCCCAGCGTCAACGGATTTCAACGCTTTCAAGTACAAGAGATCTCTCATAACTATGCTGATGATATTAGCCCTGACAATTCTCTCATACTTGCCTCTGATTTGCCATACTTTTATAAATGCTTTGATTACTTTAAACAACGCTATCGTGTTTTCTCAATTCAGTCAATTTATCGTTGCGCTTAATTCAACCCTCAACCCCTTGCTGTACCTGTGGCGAATGAARGACTTGAGAAGAGCAACAAATACTACACTTCGACCGATAATATCTAAGGTTCAATGGTGACCAACAGGGCTCTTTGGCGTTMAGATGTTGTTGATGGCGTGTAYCCCASGAGTGGYSYACGGGCTTAGGAGGAGGAAYGGTGACCAACTTTCATTSTCTTCCTTTCTGAAAATAAAAGTAAATCAAAATTAGAGAGTTTGCCAGAAAAGATGGCAACCGGCTCAATTTTCAAAACAACAACTCCTACCAGTAACATATTATTAAGGTTGCATGCGACGTACTTGTAACCTTCAAAACCCTAAAATAACACAAAGTGGAGATGGTAACTATTTTTTCCAAGCAAGGTTAAAAAGTTCACCTCCGGTGGGACTCGAACCCACAGCCTTTGAATTAGAAGTCCAACGCGCTAATCCATTGCGCCACGGAGGTGTTTTTAGTACAGTGAAACCCCGCCCTACGGCTACCCGCTTAATACGGCCACACCGTTATTGCAATCAGCTCTTTTTTGGTTCCGACGAAATGCCAATACATTTACTGTAAAATGTACCCGCTCAATACGGCCACCCGTTAATACGGCCAACGGCCACTTTTTTGTGGCCCGACTGACAAATTTCCATACTTTTTAACTCCGTATCACGGCCAGGACAAATCGGTTAGTTTAGATCTTAAGTAAATACTATAAAGTTATTACTGCAAAATATGTGATTCTTTTATTCATTCGTTTTACATTCCGACAGTACAATAATACTTTTTGTAGAATCAACACAACAACTTCAAACGGAGAAACATGTACAGCGCGATGCGCTAAAGTATGTCCGCATTTATTTTATAGCGGTACAGTATTAAAAAAGAGCATTTTTTATAAGTCAGCTTTGAACATGGATACTTGTTTATAATACAAATGCATTATCATTTGTCATATTATCGTCTCATCGCCATTAACAAGCTAACGTGTTTTGTCAATTTACATGAATGGATTAGTTATCCAAATGCACCTCACTTTAATTTCTTGACTTTCTTGGCTTTTTTTAGGTTTACGGCTTTCTTGTTTTGTTGACTTCTTCTTAGAAGTTGAATGAGAGTTATAACTGAGCTCCTATAGCATCAGAAGTTTTAGAAATATTAATTAATACAATATGCAATATGTCACTTAATTAAATTTGTTTAGTAGTTTCGTATTGATTAATAAAACACATGTTTTTGACATATTTTTGACAGCCCTCTTAATACGGCCACCTCGCTATTGCGGCCACTTTGGAATGTCCCTTCGGTGGCCGGATTAACGGGGTTCCACTGTAATATGTAAACCTGCTTAAAGATATCGAATAAATGAATTCATGACTTACTTAACGGACTACCTCGACGATATGGCAGCCATCTTGCCAGGGGACAGTACAAAGATAACGGTAAATATATAGAGCTTCGCATGTCGCTTTAATGGGTTTAGCACAGAGAAAGTAAAATATTATTGTCTCTTTTTAATAATTTTACGCCAAAACCTGCCAAAAACCTGTCGAAAATTGTCAAAAAATCAGACACAATCTTCTTAGTTTTCTTTATTAATGAACCAAGCCAAGTCTAACATATATATATTATATATGACAGATCAGTAAATAGATAGATGCTTTATTACAAATCTACTTATGTAGCCAAAGGCTGAATTGCGTAAATACAATTAAGATTACCACTAATATATATGATTCCAACTATACTAATACTTACTTAATTAAAAAATATATAATAGCTACACTTAACTGTTGTTATATCTGTTGGTTTTCAAAGCGGGAACAACTTTGCTGCCGTAGAGTAACACTAAATTAATTTGTATTGAATGGGAATAAATCGGTGCAAGTCATCGGTGCAAGTCATTGGTGCAAGTAATCGGTGCAAGTTACTTAAGACAGTTTAGTCAGTCAAAAAAGGTCTTACAGTGGCGTTCCATAGTCTCTAGCACCGAGAGGCTTAAGGTCTTTCTATAGGCCAGTTCATAACCATAAATTAGAATCAAAGCTCTCAGTTTTCTGTATCCTTTTCATGTATTACTTACATGCAGGCGTACAAAAAAACTGAACGGATGCATACAGTGTAGAACTTGGTCGTTTCAGCTGAGTAAGGCCAAGTAGAGTCTTTTTGCTGTTTTCTTTATGATCTCAGACGTGCAAATTCCACTTGAGATAAGATTACACCCAAAMTTTTGACTGATKAAACAKGACTAAAAGATTCAGCKTWGGTATTCATYTTTTTATTACGCTTTYATCATCTAGTTTTACGGCTTTTATATTCCCACTTTTCTTTATTTTYTTCTTTCTCTTCTATTTCTTCGTCGTCCTCTTAGCTTCGAATATGAAGCAAAACAATCATTAGTGATGATGCTTTTCGTTAAATACATTTTTCAACCGTTTCCGTAGTGTAGTGGTTATCACGTGTGCCTAACACGCACAAGGTCCTGGGTTCGATCCCCAGCGGAAACAGTAGGTTTTTGCCTTTTTATTCCGTAATCTGCAATCAATAAAGCCAAAAGAGCATTGGAATTTACTGATGACAAAATAGAAAAATTATAATAATTAGTTTTACATCTTTTAAATTTCCACTTCATTTCTTTTCTTACTCATTTTCTTTTTCTTTTCTTTTCTCTTTTTCTTCTTTTYTTCATTTTGAATACAARTATGTCTATAAACGGTCTCATTATTTTAGTCCCTAATTGTGGTTTTACATGTTCGGTGTTGATGTACAAGACAATCTAAATTGGAACTCACACGTATCAAGTATCGTACGGTGAACAAAGCTAGTCAACGTATCTATCATGTTAGAGCCTGTCGTAAAGCTGGTCTTCCCAGTGATGTCAGCCTTACCACCTACCTTACCACGATTCGTTCGTTGTTAGAATATGCAAGTCCCATCTGGGGTGGTCTACCTAGCTACAGAGATTGAAAGGGTTCAGGAAAGATGTCTGGAAATTGTTGGCCTTCCTAAAGACACTCCAGAAACATTAGCTCACAGAAGAGATACACAAGCCATTAAAGAACTAGAACGTTTAAAAGAAAGTAATAGCTTAACACATCTTTTCTCTGAACAGTCTACACATAACTATAACCTAAGCAATAGGAAAATCTATCTTACTGTCTCATAAACTAACAGACACAAAAACTCTTTTATCCCAAGAACTTTGAAACTACTATCATTATGAGCAGAACTTATACAGAGCATTTGTACATCTTGTAGTTAACTTTTAAATATACACACATATACATATCTTTAGTGTTATAAATTCTTAAGTATACATAAACATAAATTCTACAATATCCATATATTTTTACCACGTGCAGTATTTTTTTCACAATTGTGTTCTCATTAAAGTATTATTATACATCTTTACTTAAGATTTTATAATTTCCCTATGTTTTTGTTGGAACACATATTCCATATATTTATAAGTCGTGCTTTTTCTTTCATTTTCAAAAGTAGTTTTGTTTTTAAGTTTACCTGGTGTTTCAATTGGGTAAAGAACATAATTACAGTAAGGGCACTCGAACCAAGTACACGTTGTGTTTTTTGTCAATTTTGTAAAAAACGTTTAATTGTAAATCCTCCCTTAACTGTGAAGTTAGATGGTCCATTATTAGATCCGAATCCCTGTGTAGCTAGTTTTCGAAAATATAATTTGATTTTCGAGAAGACGGCCTGAGAAGAGGTTTGAGCGTAGTCCCAAAAAAAAGACGCTCAAGAGAGGTGAAAATGGCTCGGAAAACTTTGAACAGAGCATGCGTAAAAAATAAGTAGGAATAGAAATAGGACGGCTCCCTAAAATAGAATGGAATGGTCAGGTTTTCGAACTTGCTACTGATACCATGTAACTCAGTACTACCTGCTACATGGACGGGTTGTCGGCGTCTAAACGATTATCCAGTGAGGAGGGTGGCTTGACACCCAGTAGGAATAGAAATAGGACGGCTCCCTAAAATAGAATGGAATGGTCAGGTTTTCGAACTTGCTACTGATACCATGTAACTCAGTACTACCTGCCACATGGACGGGTCGTCGGCGTCTAAACGATTATCCAGTGAGGAGGGTGGCTTGACACCCAGTAGGAATAGAAATAGGACGGCTCTCTAAATTAGAATGGAATGGTCAGGTTTTCGAACTTGCTACTGATACCATGTAACTCAGTACTACCTGCCACATGGACGGGTCGTCGGCGTCTAAACGGCTATCAAGTGAGGAGGGTGGCTTGACACCCAGTAGGATTAAAAATAAGACCTGTCAAAGGGTGGAGGAGCTCGTAGGAGCCAACAGCCATCAAGCAAGCGTCTTCTCGGATAATGACGTAAAACCGGAGGTCCCGTCTGCTTGCACTTGACCCCCGATAAAGTGGACGTAAAAGATCCTATTGTATTCTTCGTAAGAGTAGGGGATTGTTACCCG